TTGGAATATATAAATGTAAAAGTTTTATAATTAGGTAGGATTGTAGTGTATAGACTTCAAAAACGTTAATTTGTTATTATAACAATCCTTCTACAAAGTGGATCCTGCAGAGCGTGAAACCAATCATTTTGAAGTTATTTAAAAGTGGATGTACCAATGTTGAATATTGTAATATATTCTGCTGTTAACACTACAATTAGTCGTGAGTTATAGAGTTTTAGTGGCTAGAAGGTTGGGCCACAATATATATACAGTGAATCTCAATCTGTGGTGTGCAGACCACTGGTGATGCGAAGACGTTTTTCAGCTGATGGGTGAAAAGGTTGCATAGTTAGGAAAGGAAGTGGTAGCATAGCTTAGATCCAATGTTGTTCAGGTTAGGTGCAACACGAAAAGTTTCAGAACCACTGGTGTGGTAAAATAAATATAACAACACAGTTCAACTACGAACGAGTAAACATTGCTAATCTTTCTCGTGAAATTAACTGTTAAAGCAAAATGTTGTCATAACTGTTAGATTATTGTTGTTGGTTGTGTTTTTCACATTTTTAGGTTTAGACTTTCGCTAGAGGAAGTTTTAACTTTATATCTTAGCACGTAGCTCAGTGATGTGAGTTTTGAGTTTCTGTTTCGACGAAATGATGAGGTAATGAAGATACGGAATAAGTTCGCAAGGAAATGATAAACGTTATTTATTTATGAAGTTAGGCCTATTATCTGGTTATCGTTATTTACTTTAATGAAGGTGAAATTTGTATAATTTCTATTTTAAGAAATAAAACGCTTTCCTTTCATTAAGGGAACAAAACTTTTCGTTATTTTTCTCAAAACCAAAAAGGACCTGCCGAACAATGGAAATCGTTACAACAATGAAACAATTTGCTTCTCTGGTTTCCCAGGCTTTGCACAAGTGATCCACTTTTATGTATATGTGTGATTGAGTACTTATATTCCTGAACATCTAACATAAACGATAAAATATAAATATCCATGAAATAATTCTGTTTCCAGCTGTCGTTAATTATGTCTGTCAATATTCATAACTGATATTAAGTTATGTGCATATCTATATAAATATAATAGTACTGTCTGTTGTATGTCCATGTAATTACTTCGCAGGGTGCGCATTGATCTTGGAACCAAATTGATATGGAGGTTCATTAGGTCCATGCGGGAGTCCATGCAAATTTTCAGTTTTGCGTTTTTCGGTTTTTATGGGCGTTTTTTTAGCACTATCTCATCTTATATGGGTGGATCTTCACCAAATTTGGTGTGGAAGTTCATTAGGTTCATGGGAAGATACAGACAAATTTTAAGTTTTGCGGGTTTTATGGATGTTTTTCACCACTACTTCGCCCGACTGTTGATGGATTTTTACCAAATTTGGCATGAAGATTTGTTGGGTCCATGGGGAGATACATATAAATTTTCAGTTTTGCATTTTTTTATCGGCGTTTTTCCGTGTTTTTTTTCTACCACTACCTCATCTCCTGTGGATGAATCATCGCCAGATTTGACATGAAGGTTTGTTGGTACAACAGGGAGATACGTACAAATTTTCAGTTTTGCGGTTTTTACCACTACATCACCCCCTATTGATAAATCTTCACCAAATTCGGCAGTTTTGTTGGTACATGTGGAGATACATGCAAACTTTGAGGTTTCACGTTTTGTACTTTCATTGGCGTTTTTACATTTACATATAAGGGAAGCAACTTTTTATGTCCTAAGATAACCTTTCATTAATCATGAATTTACATAACTTCCGTCCAGGAGACGGGTGCTCCATCTAGTAATAAATATATTTATAGTTTATAACATTAAGTTTTGGAAAACTTTCATCAGGCAATAGATTATAGAAGAGGTTGTAATGAGATAATACTTGAGTGGTAATATCTCAAAAATGTTTAAACTTAAAGCAACAAAACGGTAAAGAAAAGCATACATAAATAAATTATTGAATTGCCAGCAAGAATACTAATGCATAGATTATTGAACTTTATGTGTACATCTCATTTAGATAGCATTTTATAATTTTTGTGTAGCTGAGCTAATGAGAGCTATAGCTTGAAACGAAAGTACTTAGCTGATCATATGAGATGTGTTATTCAATGTAACCTAACGTAAGGGGAAAAGAGGCCAATTGATCTATCTAAACTTAAGGGAAATTCAAATCCAACCATCATAATTTAAACATCTATCAAGCCTTCCCATACATTCCCTTTAATGTATTGCATCTACTGTATCAGAAGGCAACCTATTTCAAAAGCCAACCACTATTTTGGAAAAATAAAAGTGTTTTAGCGAAAGATGATTCCTTTCCTGCCAAATTTATATTTGTATCTCCATTACTTTCTCACCATTCAGTACAAAAAAAGAAGATGCATTAATACTGTCAATTCCTTTAAAAGTCTTAAATACCTCAATCAGATCTCCTCTCACTCTTTCATTTTTGTAGAAAAAACAAATTCAGAGATATTAACCTTCCCTCACATTGCAAACCTTTCCATCCCAGATATCATTAGAATAGCCCTCCTCTGAACCCTTTCCATCCCAGATATCATTAGAATAGCCCTCCTCTGAACCCTTTCCATCCCAGATATCATTAGAATAGCCCTCCTCTGAACCCTTTCCAATATTTTATTGTTTCCCCTAATGTAAGGAGTCAAGACAGTGATTATAAAAATCAAAATTGTAACATTTTTATTTCTATATAGACTACTTAAAATCCTATTGGACTCACCTCTAGCAACCACGCTATGTGTATGGCTTAAGAAATTGATCAACCACAACACTGTTAAGGTTATTCCTATCAGAATTATACTCGTAGTCAAACTGTGGTAACCCACATGTATTGCTTTACATTTATTATAATTAAAAGCCATCTGCCATTTATTCTCCCAACTCATTAAGTAATCTAAATCCATTTTCAAAGTAGCAACATCTTCCTCACAGGCAGCAACATTCAAGACCTTAACAACAACAGCAAGTTTAAGTTTATTGACCATATTTTGATATAAAGCAAATATAGCCAGTGTCATAATACTGACTCCTAAGGTGCCTCACTTGTGATGTTAATACAGTTTGTTTGAACTTCATTTATAATTACCCTCTGCTGTATTCCATCCACCTATTTTTCTATCCAGTAAGCCAACTTGTCCATCACACCCATATAGTAAAAAGATAATATTTTTAACAAGCCTTTTTTGTGGCATTCTGTCAAATGCTTTCTTGAAATCTAGATACACTAAATTCACACCCTTACCCTCATCTACATTAGCAATAACCTCTTCAAAGAATATCAAAAGATTAGTAAGACAATCTTTATTGCCCAGTGAAACCATGTTGGCTATCCAATAAAATTTTAAACTTTGTTAAATGTCTTTGCAAGACATCTTTTATTACAATTTCAAAACTTTTCTCACCACTTATATAAGACTAATAAACTAATAATTATTTGGACAGTTTTATCACTGTTACGTCTCCGTTTGTTAATTGATTTCCCGTAAATTCGTTTCGATGAAACTTTAGCGACACAAGTCCTTTCTTAAATAAAACTGGTTTATTCTTTCTGAGTATAACTTTACGATACACTTAATTTCAACAATCGCGCTAAAACAAATGCTATAACAATGAACGTTAACTTCAACAATACTCTCTGACTGCAGATCAATTACTCACTACCTACATATTGTCCCGTCACGTTGTGACCATC